TCAGGAAAGACATAATAGAATCGAACGATCTGTTCCATTAAACTGTGGGGTATTCTCACGGATGGCCTAAGCTTCTTTAACCAATAAACGGTAGTGGTTGCTGTCTTTCGCCAAGAGTTTGATATCATTGAAGTCGATAGAATGTCCGGTTTTTGAGACGTGTTTTTCTAATGCGGATTTCGATTTATATCGTTAGTATCGGATCGTTCGATTCTATTATATGTCTTTCCTGAAAGTTTTTCAAGCAAAAGAGTATATGGAAAGAAAAATGTCAAGTACAGAATCAAATATGATCTTTTGCATTCATGCATGTATTTTCTTTTTTCTACACTTCAAGGAACAACGATGAAAATCAATGGAATGAATATGTATACTAATGAAACTAGTATAAATGATAATAGACATTCATCTTGTAAAGTTTTCACACGCATTTTTCTAAATTCTCATTGTACTGACGATAAATCGTTTGATTCGAAAGTTCTATACGTAAAATAAATTAATCAAGCGTTTAAAAATGGAATCAGCTGCTATCAACTCACAAATATTTTCATTATGGTCTGAATCATTATATCTTTCGATATTTTCTTGATTAGGATAACAAATCTGGCACACATCATGTAATGTCGAATAATTTCAATTGTTGTGGACAAAAAATGTTATTATGAGCTATTGTACTATTCTCGAGGATGAATTTGCCTCACATCTAATGGTACAGAATCTGAAAGGTGTAGTAAATTAGAAAGAAAAAGCATTAGAGATAATAATAGATGTATATCATCATATAAAAGACTACTCTTTGCAACAAAAAAGATACCTAGTCATTAAAAGATGTATACAGTGACTCACAAAATTGTTCATTCATCTTAGTTTTTCATTTCTCTCGTCGATTGTAATATCTAGAGCAAAAGTGAGAAATGATTCCCATGACTGGAATAGTTTTCAGTCTAGTGTGGCGTATTTAAAGATTCCACCACAATCTCTTATAATTTGGATATCTGAAAACCAAAACGTTAGAAAAACAAGGTCCCAAGGTTCCACATCACCTACATATGGTGTTCGGATCAGGCGAATTTTATTTTTTTCTGATACCAAAAAGTCTTGACTTTGGATTATATTTTATACGCCACAGGAACTGTTCTGTCCCACTTTATCATTAAACCTGTTGTCGTCTTTTTCCGAAATACATTTGTTAAAAATTCACCATCTGTTCGTCCAATTAAAATGTCTAGAAAAGGAAGTGTTTTATTCACCTCAGTTTCGTATGTGAATTTAATCAATGAATATAAAGTATTCAAATGATCTTGTATTAGATTAGCGTCAATGACATCGATTACTGTACCAAACGTGAACGTGTCATCAACATAACGACGCTATTCAAGTAGGTACTCATTTGTATCCAAGAGCTTTTGAGTATTTAATTCTTCGAAATGCGTAATATATTATGCATAATATTATTCATACAGTTTTAAGATTTGATTTTCGAAAATTCTAGTACATTGTAATGCTAGATATCTTGATAAATGTCGTCAATTCCTTCCTGTTCAGCACCAATTAAGATAAATTGAAAAATAAAAATCAACAAAAAAATATTCCTAAAATGATATATATCCTCTATCAATTGTAGCTCATCAAATGTTTTTAAAGACGATCATAAAATATTAGTACAGTATAGTATTAAACAGAAGTACACAAAAAGATATGACGAATTTTTGCGAATAACTTTTAGCTGCATAGAATGAGAGATATGTATTGATAAGCAGGCTCGTAAATTTAGAGAAAATAATATCATCTAATAAATAAAGTATGTGTGTCTATATATATACGTTCGTTGCAGTTATATCACTGGAGAACAAAGTAGAAAGAAAAAAGAAGCACCGGTTGAGGTAATGAGAACGAATAATAATTGAAAAGTATATTATTTTTCAGTATACGGTGGTCGTAATGGTAATTTCACTACAGCTTGTCTCAACTCTGGATGGGTTAAAAAATCTTCCCATGCAGTTCGTTCTTTAACAGTTGAATCGGCCCATTTTACAGGTTTACCCTCAGAAAGACCTAAAATAGTTTAAGAAAAGAGTTACATAATTTTCAATGAGAAAAACTGTGTGAAGATATTTAATTCAATATAAAATTTTCAAGGTTAACTATCTCAACATATTATGATATTTTCTCGTATGATATAAAATATATGATTACCTGTGCCAAGATTTAATCTTACAAAACCAACCATATTTTTTCTAAATCTTTCGTGATTCCATATACTTATTTCTAGCGATTGTTCATGTAAATGAGAAACTGCAGTGCCTTCATATCTTAACGGTATTTCCCATTTTGGATTTGGACCTTTTCGTAAAATTGATACTTTTCGTTTTATTTTTTCTGGCAACAATACCCTATTAAAGAGAGTAACAGACATACCAATCTTCATTCATATTTGTCTTCTACTCTCTTACCCTTTAATGTAGGCGTCAACACTATGTTTTCCATAATAAACATTTTTTGCAGAGATTTGATTCACTTGTAATGTACCAATCTCTTTATTTTTAGAATTTCCAACAAACGACAGTTGAAACTCAATTTCACCAGGACCCATTGTCGGTTCGAGACCGGGATTTAACTAGAAAAAAAAAATGGATAAAAATTTATCTGAACATTATACTAGATTTTATTCGATCTACATACATCACGTTTATGCATTTTTGCTAATAATGTATAGGTTTGAGTTTTATTAATTATACAATTTGCTAATGGTATATGAATTTCACCCAAAAAGTGATTGTTACCAAGTTTTCCATCACTCCATACAGATATCCAAAGTATCCTTGTTTCAAATTCTTGTTTACTTAAATTATACTAAACAAAAATAGAAAATAAATGTTGTATATTATATAGAAGTGAGAAGTCTTTTTTAAAATTTTACTCGAAATTTTTCTCCATACACTGGTTCTACTGTGCCCTTCTTCACAGTTGTTTTTCGTTTTGATGATTTTGAACGATCAGGTAATAAATACATTTTAACATATCTAAAAGAAAAAAAAATTAAATTTATTTTCATAATTCAAATTTTTAACTATTTTTTAACGCTTACGGATCAGATGTACTGCCTTTTGCACTTGCTAACTTTGAACATTTAATAACATTGATTTCTAGAGAACCCGTTTGAAGATTATAACTTATTTTTAAATCAATTGTACCGGATATTTCAAGATCGTATCGTGCTCCTACTTCACTTTTTACACTCGCCAGACTTTGTCGTGAACCCTAAAAATAGACATTTTAGTAACTAAAATTAAATTCTATATGGACAGTTATAGTTAGTTGAATTTTTATCTTTAAGATTAACATTCATATTCTGTTATTTTATGCAAGCAGCATCATGTTTCAATGTAACGTATGTTTAGTTCTCATCATAAATATTTAAGCAACAAAATATTTAAATAACTTTATATTAAGTGCAACAAGCAAAAGCAGTAAGATTGACACAAATACATGCACACCGTTAAAAATTTTGACCATCCAACTGTAGCTCCATTATGATGATGTCGTCCACTTACACGTATATCCATCATCGATGATGCTTTGGCTTGTAAACCCTAAATGTGTGTGACATATACATGTGCAAAATACACAACAAACAACAATCACGGGAATGTGTAAAACATGCTCATTCAGGGTAACATACTAATAGTATATAACAGATATATACTTACGACTTTTGCTTGTTCAAATGTTGTATCGATATCATCATCTGAATCAACTTCCTAAAATTGAAAGAAGAAAAACAGCAGTCATTACCGATGTATACTGTATGAAAGCTAAAGGATAGTATGAAAAATGTAGAGAAAAGCATATCACCGGAAAAAAAATAAAGTTCGTTTAGAGTTGCTGAAAAGTGGTTTTTCGTATTCAGCACACTCGATAACCCAGAAGATTTTCTATTTTTGGCTCGAGGTACTTCCGAAAGTTTAGGAAAAATTTTCAAATTAGTATTATTTTTCCATGGAAAACTTTTTGCGCCATTTTGTTTCAAAATTTTTCTTAAACTTTCGGAAGTACCCCGAATCAAAAATAGAAAATCTTCTGGGTTATCGAGTGGGCTGAATACGAAAAATCACTTTTCAACAACTCTAAACCAACTTTATTTTTTTTGTTCCGGTGATATGGATTTATTAGAGTCAGAAATTTTTACATTAAACTACTAATCGAAAGATAATTCGTAGCTATTTCAATAAAACTCTTTGCATGATTTACTGTATTAAAAAATATTTTAAAAAATAAAAGGCTTTTTTATGTCTTGCAAAGTTGTTGACATAATAAAATATCCAATGACCTTTTTAGAATTATTTATGTTACTGACAGAAAAATAAAGGTCATTTAGAATTCCGGAAAGACGCTTTTTTGTATTCAGCACACTCGATAACCTAGAAAATTTTCTGTTGTTAGCGATGGATATTGCCAAAAGTTTAAGAAAAATTTTCAAACTAATTTTATTTTTCCATGAAAAATTGTTTTTCGTTATTTTGTTTCAAAATAGCGATTTTCTTAAACTTTTGGCACTGCTCATCGCCTAAAGTAGAAAATTTTTTAGGTTATCGAGTGTGCTGAATACGTAAAAGCTCCTTTTTGCAACTCTAAATGAACTTTATTTTTTTCTCCACGTTGATATGACGAAATTTCTTAAAGATTAGAAGTGTAGAAAAAAATCTTTTCACTCTACTAAATTCTCTTTTTTTTAAAGGTTTTCAAACTAAGCCAGAAAAGTAAAGGTCATTTGGCTAGAGAATACTTTAGACTTTTATTTTCTGAATAAGCAAAAATTTTGTACCTCTGCGACATTCGCAACAGATGAAGCTCGAGTTGATGACGCGGCTGCAGGTGGACTAACTGCTGAAATACGTTGTTCAAGACTTGCTGTTGTTCCAATGCTTGATGTTCGTTCTTTGGAACTATTCTCAGTATTTTTAGAAATACTTCTATGTGTTGCTTGCGATACTATACTCTCACGATCATTATCATTATCATTATTATTATCATTATCTGTATTTTCTTGAGTATTGATTGGTGTTATTGATCGGTGTTGATTGGTTGTCGTTGCGTTTGATCTTACAGTACTAACCGAATCAGCTCTAGATGATCGAGTTTTTATTGATTTATTTTCATCGGATGGTAACTTTTCATTATCATCATAACTATTCACATTGATCTGAGAGTCTAAAGTAGATAAATTATAATACTATCAGAAAAATTAGCATTTACATATTGCTACGACTGTATACTCTTATTTACTCACATAAATGTGCGAGATAAATTACCAATTTAAGCAAAAATGCAGATGGTATTAAGAAAACTAGATTATTTCTTCTCAGTCACATTCAGATATCCTGACTACGATCTTTGTCCTTGACGTTAAAATACATTAATTAACTCTAGCAAAATCTACATTATCATTTTTATATACAAAAATGTTCGCAATATAATTTCTATTAGAGTCACCGCTTATGAACAAGATCACCATATCAAAAGTTGAATTGTAGATGCTTAAAAGTGAAGTAAACATTTTCTACAAGGTACAAACAAACAGCAAGGTACCTGTTCCTTGTACTCAGTACATTCGCTAGAAAATATTAAGTAACAGTTTGATGATCACAGTAAAGTTCATGCAAAAAACCACGTACGTACAACTGTACAAAAAATAAACGCTATCACAAGAAAACTATTATACTGATATCGTTCACGCAAATTTTACTGTTTATAAATAAATGAACCATATAGTTATGAAGACAAGACATGTATACTGTACTGCTCACATACGATTATATCATTTTCTTGGCGAAAAATGGGATAAATTATCAAAAAATCTGTCCTACAATGTGAAAAATATTTAGGTTGAATTGTTCACAAAAAAGTTAGACAGTTGGTAACTCTATTTAAGAGCACGAGATGATAAGTATGTTATAGTCTCAAACATGCTCAAAAGGCACCAGTTGTAAAGTTAGTCAAAGAATATGTACACATATATACATATATATATATTATCATAAAAAAAAGCAAATAATAGTATAACAATACTATTTTGTCTACAAAAAAAAAAATCAGATTCACCGTTATTATTTATTGTCATTTGAACTACTAAGTTTCTGGCTTCTAGCAGTCGTACTGTTAGCAATGTCATCATAAAATATTAAATCACTGTCGTTATATATTTTAGATTTTCGTTTTTGTGTATGAGATTCCCGATGTAATTTAAAATTTTGTATTTTAGCAATAACACTATCACTCCAACGACGTTTTATTGAACGTGACGATGATGAAGATGATTCTTTAGTAGAATATTTATTTGTATTAAGTAACATTTCTTCCTCTCTGCCTAGACTACTTCGACTACTCAATGATTGTTTATCATCAAAGTCTGTTGTTGTTGTTGGTACAACATAATTATTAACGACTATTACTCCTGTTTTTATTCTATCACTGTTGTTGCTACTTTTTCCGTCCTCATCATCAACTGATACATTTGAACGTGATCGTGAAAATGCTTCAATACGATCAAATTCTTTGGATAGAATACGATCAAGTCGAGTACCGTCATTCGTTTTAGAATCGTTTTCATTTTCTTCTTCTTCCTCAAGTATTTCTCCGAGTGAACGTTTTTCCATATCCGAGTGTACCGATGCTGATTTAATAATTATAGGTTCCTCCACATGAATATCAAAGGTATCATCGGGTCCTAATGAAGTTAGTTCGTTCTTAATATCTGAAATGTCAACTGTTTTTTTTAAGATAAGCGATGAAAGTGGTACATTATCTTCTATTATATCTTCGTCCTCTTTATCTTCGTCTGTATGCTCAGAGTATGTTTTTGATCGACCATGTACGTCAGTGATGATAATAGCGGTAGGAATATTAATACATGTTTCTATTTTTAAAACGTCCTTCTTTCTCATTTTAGGTACTCTAATAGTTAACGATTTTTCATCGTCAGAACTTGAATCTGTTGCTGTATATTCTAATGAACTCGTTGATGATTGCAAATAAAATCGAGGTTTTATTCGTGGTTGAGGACGACGATTATGGTCATTGAATGCATTGTGACGTTGTAATGTGGCAGATCGTTTTCCTAATGTTAATTCTTCTAATGATACGGATGAAGTTACTTTTGGTTTTGGTTTTGGAGCAATAAAAACAATAGGTGTTCGGGAACTTGTGTCTGATGAAGATGATAATGTTCTACGATGACACGCTAAATGACTGGTAGATAAACTTGATTTTCCACGTTCATCTACAGTATCTGTCGTTTTTGTTTGAGCAAAACTAGATGTTCGAGTCAATGATGATTTAGTTTGCGCATGTAATTCAAGTTTTTTTACTACTATTTCTGGAAAACGTTGCTGTGACTTTTGGGAACGTTTATATTGTTCATCCAAATCGTTTTCAGGTTTTAACGTTGGTGTCGATAATGATTTTTTCAATGAATGATGACTACGGACAAACGATTTTTTTAGTAACTTTGGTAGGCTTATATTTTCTTCCGTTTGTATTTTTTGTCGATCTTTAATTCCATTAATAGTCATACTATTGCCATCTTTATTATCGATTTTGCTATCATGGTATACGCTTTTAGCTGGCTCAGAATTTTGTAATGAATGTACATTTGATGTATTGATAGTCTTTTTTTCAGATGGTACTATTTTGATTTGTGATTGTTGTTGATAATTTATAGAAGGTGTATTGAAGGTAGAAGTATTAATAGATAAAGGAATTTGTGGAGAAAATCGAGAAGTTTGTGTTGTTTGTGTAAAATGTTTTGTTTCTTGTGTTTTTAGTTTCCAATGTTGAAATACGTGAACAATACAGTCTTGTTTATATATTAATTTGTCTGAATTAGTATTTAATGTTGATAAAATTTTTGGTGACGAACTTGGATTATATGTAGGCATATTTGATTTCAATATTTCATACATAAAGATGATAAAATAATATAGTTTAATGGTAAAATAAATATAATAAATAACTAAAATAACATATTCTCGTAGTATCTATAATCTTTTCTAATTGTTCTCGTTCTCTCAAGATCCTATATTCCTTACTTTAAATAAAAAATAAAAAATAAAAACATAATGTGATGACATCGATACCATGACACATGTGTGCTAAAAGTGCTCTTCTTTTCTCCCTCAATTTTTAAGGCAAATCTAAGAAAGATAGTTTGACTAACTTATTAACTAGGGAGTATCAAAATTAGTGATATTCATGTTACAAGTATGTCCAATGTCGTAATAAGGTGTATAGCTAATATATTATAAGGCAATAAAAACTAATTCAATGGAGTTTAATCAACCGTATCATTAGGCACATGCCCGTCAAAAATAGTTGGAAATAGAAGCGAGTTGTGTCTATGACAAAAAAAACACATACCGATAGAATGTAAGGCAAAAAGCTTTTTTCTGTTGAGATATTTTGAAACAAAAAAAGAAGATGAAATCAACAAAAGAAGGAAGTATAAAATGTATCCAAAATAATTAGTCTCAAATCTATACTAGAATTCTCCCATTAATCACTACTATCTATACTTGGTCGAATATGATCAAACGTAATCGGGAAGAGAACATGTTGAATTTGATAATTTCTATTATAAAACGTGACGTTTATTTCGGGTATCCTCTTTTATATCACTTTTTTTTTCTTCTTCTCTCCAGTTAATATGGTATAATTTCTTACTATCAAAACTAAATATAGAATATATTTTCTTTTTTTTTTAACTAATCTCTTTTATGGTCAATAATCATTTTTCTTTATCTTTTTCAACTGATCTATTTTATGGTCAATAATCATTTTCTATCTATGAATTTTTTTCGCTTTTTTTTTATCCGTGAAAAGTAATTACGTAGGAAAAAACACGTGTACACATCTCAGTCGTTTTATCAGGTCTAAATCATTTGTTCTATTCAATAGACACACTAAAATCTCTTCGACAAACCTATTATAGAGATTAATTTGAAAAAGGTGTGTGTATGTGTATGAGTAGAAAGACAAGGACAAAGATAAAAATACATCATTAATAATTATTACAAGAGCGTACACACATATTACATACTTGTTAGATATATTTAACAGAAAACATCTTCAACTGTTGCTGTTACTGACAGTTATTACATCAAATCATCAAACACTCTACTTTATAAACAAGAAGACGAAGAAGAAGAAGAAAAAAAAGCCACAAAATCTAACTGTAATTTTTTGTTACGTTTCATTGCGCAGTATAATCATCTGATTTATTCTCTTTCGTGTGAGGGAATAAAACACATATAAACAATACAAACCTTTTTTTTTTGCATTGTTCTTATCAGTTTTATTTCCAAGAAAAAGAGAAGGTAGATTTTAGAAAAAAATAGACCACGAGGATCATTTTTATAGTGATTATATCGATGTCCGTCACAACAAAAAAAAAAAGAATAAAGTAACAAAAATAAATAAATAAATAAATAAACGATCTTCTAACTACTACCTGTAGAAAAACAGATTTTTTTTTCTGTTTTTTCGTATTAAACCATTGATCAAAACAAAAAAATACAAAAGTATATTATCCGTTTTCTTAAAATAAAAATATTATACGTACCATTGCAAACGAAAAAACGATTTTAGACGTAGAAAAAAGACGAAATAAAAAAATACTTTCTTAACCTTGTTATTCATCGACAATAATCGAGAAGAAAAAAAATGCGTCTATGTACACTTCAATTTTAAAATTAATTATATGTATTTAAAAATTTTTAATTCGATTCGTGATAAGAAAAATGGACATTGTGACACATTTACAAAAAAGTTGATAATTAACATTTTTTAATTGAGAAAAGTCATGATTTTTCTTTTAATGTTTCCGACTGTAATCAAAAAAACCATTTCAAGATCAACTGACTTTTACCATTTTAAAACTTTTTTGTGTTTTTTTTCTTTTTTGTTTTTTAAAATTCTACCGCAGGTTGAATTCGTTTAACAGAAAAAACAATAAGACAATAATTTAATTTAATGTAAATTCTTATTTCTCCTTTTTTGTCTTCTCTTATTAACATAAATAAATTTTTTCATAAAATTATATTTTGATATTTTAGTTGATTTCGAAACAAAATACGTTTTAAGAATCGTTTTTTTTTTTATAATTTACTTATAATGATAAAACTTATTCATACATGAGCCGTATGATTATTTCCGATATGATACTTTAAACAAACATCATTAATTTTATTAATAAAACACTTTTTAACTTACCAGTAAGATTTCTTCTCTTTTTTTCAGCTAATTCTTTGTTGAGTGATGTTCGTGAGCCAGATAAATGTGCTAACACATTTCGAACACTTTGACTAGAACCATGTTTTAAACTGTGTTTAGATCCTTAAAAAAAATGATGTATAAGTTATAGTTTTGTAATTAAAAAAAATTAATTAGCTTGTTTTTTTTAAATACGTGATAGTCTCTCTCATACTATTATAGAATTAAGAAAATATCTTATACTTACTTTTAAATAGTGAATGTGACTTATGTTTTATTGAAGTATCGCCTCGTTCTGATTTATCATCCCATTCTGACGATGTTACCGATGCACAATCTGTTCCAATTGATGCTCGTTTTACGTTCGATACTGTGAGTGGATACACACCACTATCTGGTGTTAATGTGTGTAAACTATCGGGTATCGAGTCTGTCTGTTTTTTTTTATTATTATTACTCTTTGCATTTTGATAAATAATACTTGATGTTGTTTGAGCTGTGTTCGTGGTACTTCCCGATGAATTTCGTCCGGTATAATGAGAACTATCATCTTCAGATCCGTGTCGTTGTTGTTGTTGTTGTGGTTGTAGTTGGTGTTGTTGTGAAACAGCGCGTGCTCGTGGTTTAGCAAATGAATTTAAATTTGAATTTGTTGACGATGTTAAACTCGATGGAATCGAATTATAGACGTGATTACGTGGACGATTTTCTGTTCGTTTTAGCAAGTCATTTAGTCGTTTTTCATCTGTCTCTTTTTGAACAAGTAACGGATTTGGTTGTGTCTTCTTATTAGCAGCTTTTTTAGGTGCTGGGCGATTTGGTTGTTGTTCCCATAAACGTTTTTGATAAGCTGGACGCGAATCTTCCGATTCTTCATCGGAACTTGATTCACTATGAAATTCTAAACATACACAAACAACAAATCTGCATAAGACATAATTTAGCTGGAATAGACGTTTCACTTACTTTGTGTAGATGACGGTGAGAGAGATTTTTTAATTACTTCGGATGCTGTCACAGAATCTTTTCGAAGATTGCTCCGTAAGAGATAAATCCATTCACCAGAAAAACTAAGTAATTGCCTGGAAGAAGAAAAAAAGATTACATTATAGTATTTCCCGCTACGGAAATAAAAATATAAGTTACAGTTAGAATGTAATTGTGTTTTGCACAAATTGCGATGTCGACAGACTTTGTATATGCCGAATAATGACAAAAAGCGCTGCAACAGTAGAAGAGCTCATAATAACTCTTTTCAACACAATAGACGATAGTGTACAGGTACTATTACCGTTTTAAAAAAGACAGGCCGCTGGGTAGATTGCTTATAACTTTTGAAGAGGAAGAGCTAGAGACATGCGACTTTCACCGATGGATAGAAAACATCGAGGGATGTAAGCGTATACAACAACTAGGCTTCCAGGTAAGGTTTACCATGGTGAGTCTTTCGATGCAAAGTCTACGAGACCGCCATTCCTGGACCGTACAATGGATTTTGATTTTAAAACGGTGCAATCGATAGCCCAAACTGAGATCTACAATTCTAGACCGGTCGTAACTCTCTATCTCTTACGATTCAGGAGCTATAAGCACTTTCCCGCGAGCCCTGATTTCGGCCAGTTGACCATGGGTGATCCTAAAATGGGTCAATATAGGGGTAATCAACCACGCTGAGTCGAGTGGTGATGTTTATTTTTAGTTTCAAACCGACCTAAAGTCACTATGTCAAGATTTTCAAATTAAAGCATTCTACCGCTATGTTGCGTATACAGCGGATATTTTGAATTTTGGAAAGCCTAGTTTTTTGTATACGCTTACGTCCCTCGATGTTCTTTATCCATCGGTAAAAATCGCATGTCTCTAACTCTTCCTCTTCAAAAGTTATAAGCAATCTACCCAGCGGCCTGTCTTTTTTAAAATGGTATTAGAGTAAAATCTGTCTTAGGTGTATAGACCTACTAGAAGAAAGAAACGTTAAATATTCGCATAAGTAAGGCTAAGCTATTGTTTCTTCTTTCGTCAGATACTTAAAAGAGATACCTTATAAATTTATGGTAGTGAATTTTTCTTTCTTCTGCTTTCTTTTTCCTAATATTTCTAACAATCTCAATTGCCAATAACTTTATGTCTTTTTCTGTATTTCTTCTTATTCTGACCAACGAACCTGCTTTTTCTCTCTCTCACTAACGAAAAAAGAAATAAACAACTTAGTTTGTTCTCAAAAATGTATGAAAAACTTCTAAGTCCAAAATACATTTTCCGTTAACTTCTGCCATCTTAGAGTGCGGAATGTAGACCACTGCTCGATAGAGGTCTGCGGGACCAAACGTTTTTGGTCCCGGTCCCATGAAGAAAAAAAGTCTTGATCCCGGTCCCGTGGAAAGAACTCATTTTGGTCCCGGTCCCGTGGTCCCGTAAATATATTTTCAAAGTAGCGCCCGTAGTTTGAAAGTCAGCGCGTTGTAAATTACAAAGATTTATGTAGTACTACTGCAGACACAAGTTCAGAAACATTAACAAAAAAACAAAAATATGAAGAGCAGGATGATGATAATAACAAGCAAAAAGATAATGATAGTGATAACGATGAAATGGCAACAACTGCAACACTTGATGATGACTTTTTTTGATAGATAAAAATGAAT